AACCTTAGATGGAGCCCGCAGTTAAGTTTCATTTTATTAACATTGCTTATTTACTTTGTTTGTTGTTCGAGACAGGGTTTCTCTCTGTTGTTTTGAAGACTGTCCTGGAACTCACTCTGTAGACCAGGCTGGCCTTGAACTCACAGAGATCCACCTGCCTCTGACTCCCAAGTGCTGGGATTAAAGGCATGCGCTCCAGCGCCCGGCAACTTATTTACTTTTATTTTGTTTGATGCATATGAATATTTTGCCTGCATGAATGTCTGTACCATTCGTGTGCTTGCTGCCCACAGGGGCAGTGGATTCTCTGGAATTGGAGTTCCAGACAGTTGTGAGCCACCATGTGGGTCCTGGGAATCAAACCCTGCAAGAGCAGTGAACGCTCTCAACGAGATCCATCTTTCCAGTCTCTCTACTATTAGCTTTTCAGTTAGAATTTCATGTAGCCCAGGCTGGCTAGTGGCTCACGAACTTGTTATGTCACCAAAGATGACCTTAACCTTCTTCCCTTCCTGCCGCTGCCTCCTGAGTGTTTGCATTCCAGAAGTATCCCACTATGCCTGGTATGTGGTCCAGAAAATGGAGCCTAGGATTTTGTCCATTCTAAGCAAAAATTCTACCAACTGAGCTACATCTCCAGCCCCAGGTTTTTAATATTTAATATTTTAATATTAAATGTCTTTAATGTTGAAGAGAAAAATTGCAATGTTAGTCATTGATAAGAGATCCTAACCAGATGCTTGGGATCTGCGGAACATATTAACTGTCATTCTGGGTCTCTTGGAGGTGTGGATAACTAGAGTTAGGTCCCAGCTCTGGGCTATCAGACACAACCCATTTACAGCATAGGGATTGATCCTGGAAGTAGGCCTGGGGCAGAAGAGAGAGTGGATGGGAGACAGGTGTCCTAGTTATAGACTCCCTTTCCCAGCCCCTTCCGCCAGCAAGCCGCCCAGAAGCAGCTTCATTGGGTCAAACTGCCAGTTCCTGCAGACTGGCCGCTCTGCCTGCTTAGCCAGAGGAGCCTGCAGGCTGTCCTATTCCCACAGCCTGAGTTTCCAAAGACTCTCTGTGGCCCCAGCATGTCCCCAATATGCATCCCAAGACAAGAGACAATAGATAGGATAAAAAGAGTACTTGGGAAGATTCGGATTTCTGGGGTTGCTAATCGTATGACCTTAGGTACAAAGCCCGTCTCCCTGTTTCATCCACACCATAGGAGCATTTTAGAAAATTCAAGAGATGGGCTGGAGAGATGGCTCAGAGGCTAAGAGAACCGACTGCTGTTCCAGAGGTCCTGAGTTCAATTCCCAGCAACCACATGATGACACACACCCATCTGTAATGATATCTGGTGCCCAGAACACTAAATACATAATAAATAAATTTTAAAAAAAAACAAAAAGAATTCAAGAGATGTACAGTACCTTGTCACTGATAATTGGTTTCCTAGCTCTCTCACTTTCTTCTCTGTGGTGTGATGATGCATTGCCACCAGCCTGCTGTGCAAGGCTGTCATTAAAGCTGTCTCTCTGGCTTCCTATAGCCTCTGGGAACAAAATGAAATGGGGCTTTTAAAGCCTTCTTGTTCCCATTTGTAGAGAGGCCCAATAGGGACCACTAAGTGGGGTCCAGCACTTTTTAGTATGCATAATAAACTATATTTCAAGACTGTAACTTCTCAGGGTTGGAAAGATGGTTGTCTCGGTAGCAACTGTGAGGACCTGAGTTCAGATCCCCAGCACCCATGTAAAAAGCCAGGCATAGTGGTACATGCTTGCAGTCCCAGCACCGGAGAGGCAGAAATAGGAGGCCCCTGAGGACTGCGCAGCAAGCCTGACCTAGTCCAGAGCTCGACAAACTCTCGGTTCAGAGCCTGCCTCAAAAAATAAAATGGAGGGTGCTGTTTCATTGCTGCAGTGAAACACTCTGACCAATGGCAAGGAGGGAGGAAAAGGTTTATTTCAACTTATACTTCCAGGTAACAATCCATCACTGGTGGAAGTTAGAGCAGAAAGGCAAATAGGAGGAACCTGGAGACAGGACCTGATGCAGAGGCCATGGAGGAGTGCAGCTTCCTGGCTTCTCCCCATGGCCTGTTCAACCTGCTTTCTTATAGAACCCAGGACCACCTGCCCAGGAGTGGCCGCACTCACAATGGTTTGGGCCCTCCCATCAATCACTGATTAAGAAAAGGCCCTACAGACTTGCCTACAGCCCATCTTATTGAAGCATTTGTCTTAACTGAGGCTCTCTCCCCTTTAGTGACTCCAGCTTGTGTCAAGTTGACAGAACTAGCCAGGACAGAGAGTAACCGAAAAAGACACTCAGTGTCCACCTCTGGTCTCCACACCCCACAGTGTACAAATATGCATTTGCACCCCACACAGATGCTTACACACGCACACACACACACACACGCTCCACTAAGAATGTAGCTTCTCATTCCTTGCCTATAGAATGCAAATTAGCTTGGGGGTCTCTGTACAGCTAGTTTTACGCAGGGACAGAATGTCCTTTCTGGGAGTTACCATGGCTCCTTCCTGTCTTCTTCCTTCCAGTGTCGCCTATTGAATTTTTCATTGCTCATTTGATTTGTGTCTTTACTTGAATTAGCAGATGGAGTGAATTCACGGCCCTGCGTTAGCCCTTGCAGTGCTTTGTGCTGAGTGCGTGTCTGTTTGAATCCCAGCAGTTCTGAGGGGGTGACATTGTTAGAGGCCAGTGACAGTGAGCTCCTTCCCAGGGTGACCCAGAGACAGTGTTCAAACCCAGGTCTTACGCCACTCCCAAACCTGTGCCCTTTGTTCTTTAAATTGGACACCGCTTTCTTGTTTTCTCTGTCTGCTCTCGTTTGTTTTGAGTGTTTACAATATTAGGTTATGCTCATCAAGCTGCGGAGGGAAGAACTCTGCTGTTATGCACACGGTAGTCATGGCTGTAGTCTAGGCACTGTGGAAACTGAGGCAGGAGGAGCAAGATTACAGGAAGATGAAGAGTTTGCAGCCAGCTCAAGCTACAAAGCAAGACCCTGTATCACAAAAGCAAAGCGGGCTGAGTGTGGTTGCCCATGCCTGTGATCCTAGAATTGGGGAGGTAGAGGCAGGAAGGTGAAGAGCTGAAGGCCAGCCGTCGTGATATAGGACTGTCTCAAAAAATATAATAATAATAATAAAATAAAAGTTAAGGATATAGCTCAGCTGGTAGACTACTGCCTGTCAGGCACGAAGCCCTGGGTTTGATCCCTAGCACCACATAATGACATGTATTACACCTATAACCTCTGCACTGGGAAGGGAGAAGCACAAGGATCCGAAGTTCAAGGTCATCCCCTGTTAAGTAATGAGTTTCAGGTCACCCTGCCCTAGGTGAGGTTCAGTCTCAATAAAGCAAAACAAAACAGAGGTGGGTCAAGTGGCCCATTACAAAAAATGTTCTTTTTTTTTCTTTTACTTTTTTCCAGTCAGGGTTTCTCTATGTAGCCCTGGCTGTCCCGGAAATCGCTCTGTAGACCAGGCTGGCCTCAAATTCACATATCCACCTGCTTCTGCCTCCCTAGTGCTGGTATTAAAGGCATGTGCCACCACTGCCTGACTTTTATTTATTTATTTAACGTGTATGAATGTTTTTCTTGCTTGTATTTATGTGCACTATGTTCATGCCTGGTGTCCTTGGAAGCCAGAAGAGGGTATTCTGATCCTCTGCAGCTGGAATTAGACAGCTGTGATCTGCCATATGAGTGTGCTAAAAACCCAATCTGGTCCTCTGCAAGAGTGTAAGTGCCCCGAGTGGAGCCATCTTACCAGCCCTACTTTTTTGGCTGTTTTATTTATTTATTTATTTTTTATCTTTGAAACAAGAGTTTTACGCGTAGCCCTGACTAGCCTGGGAAAGTTAAGCCAGGCCGACCTCAAACTCACAGAGCTCTGCCTGCTTCTGCCCTGGGATTAAAAGTGCACACCATCACACCCAGCTAGCTTATTTTTCAATCTTTGTTTCTGTGTATATCAGTATTTTGCCTACATGTATGCCTGTGCACTGAATACGTGCAGTGGCCAGAAGAAGGTGTCAGCTTCCTTAGAACTGGAGTTACAGATGATTGTGAGCTGCCGTGAGGGCGCTGGGAACTGGACCTGAGTCCTCTGACAGAGTAGTCAGTGCTCTTAACCAGAGCCAACCCCTTACCTTACCTTTCTGAGACATGGTCTATTTCCAAACCTGGAGCTCACCAACTAAACTAGACTAACTGGTGAGCCATCTCCAGAAACCTTTCCAGCTCCTGCCTTCTCAACCCTGGAATCGCAGACTTTTATCACCCTGTGTAGCTTTTTGTTTTTGTTTTTGGAGACAGGGTTTCTCTGTGTAACAATCAGCACTGTCCTGGAACTTACTCTATAGACCAGGCTGGCCTTGAACTCACGAGATCCACTTCCTCTGCTTCCCGAGTTCTGGGATTAAAGGCGCGCAGCACCACCACCGCCCAGCCCCTGTGTAGCTTTTTACCTGGGTGCTGTCTCAAGACAGAAGATAAATGCTGCTAGTCTGCATTTCTCCATTCCTGTGTGTCTGTGTGTTCTGTTTTCATTGTTCCAGGGAATTAAACATAAGGCCTTGGACATGGCAAGCAAGTATTCTACCACTGGGCTACATCCATGGCTCTTGTCCTGCTTTTTTTTTTTTTTTATTGTTTTAGACAAGATCTCATGCAGCCCCGACTGATCTTGAACTCACTCTGTAGCTGAAATAACCTTGAACTCTTGATCTTCCTGCTGGAACCACAAGCATGCACCTTCATATTTGGCCTCATTTAACCATTTTATGGGTGTGTTTGCGTGTGCTGAGGTACACATCACGTGTGTGCACACGCCTGTGGATGGACGAGAACAACCTCGGGTGTCATTATTACACACCATCCATCTTTTGCTTGAGAGAGTCCCGAGAAATCTAAAAGCCCACTAAACCAACAGTAAATTCATTCTAATATTCCATTTTCCCTATAGGAATAACAGTCAAATGAAGAAGCGGCCAACTTCTGCAGTGGGCTACAAGAGACCTATCAGCCAGTACGCTCGAGTTGCCATGGCAATGGGGTCCCATCCCAGATACAGGGTAAGAATCTGGGAAGTGGAAGCCAGGGAAGGGATACTCACAGCAAATGCTCCCTCTAAATATCCATCACCCTCATGACATCCAAGGTCCAGTGCCTGGAATATGCCACTGCTCATGTCTGATGTACCACTTTATCACAGGCTGAAAATATTATGTTTTTGGAATTGGATGTTTCCCCACCGGCTATCTTTGAGATGGAATTTTCTCATGACCAAGAACAAGATCCACGGGTACTACACATGGAGAGGCTCATGAGGCTGGACAGCTTTCTGGAAAGACCTTCCACGTCTAAAGTGCGAAAGTCAAGATCATGGTTAGTACCACCATGGTCAGCGTGAGCCCTGAACTTCAGGAAGCAGCGGGACTGCACGGGTTGGTCAAGGCTGTAGAAGGATTGAGTGGCAGCCAATGAGAGTGTGGAGAGGGAAAGGCAAAAAACCTCACCCTTCAATCTACAGTGGTACCTGTGGGCAGGATATGCTGGTGCAATAGTGTGGCACAGCAGCCTGCCGACGGTGGTGCACACCATTAGTCCCAGCATTGGGAGGCAGAGGCTGGTGGATCTCTATGAGTTCGAGGCCAGCCTGATCTACAGAGTGAGTTCCAGGACAGCCAGAGCTGCTCCATAGAGAGAAACCCTGTCTTAGAAAACCGGGAAAAGAAAGGCGGCGCAGGAAAGGCAAAACCTTGAATTTCTGTCCTCTGGTTTTTCTAATCCCTCCTTTGGTCTGTCTCATTGCTTCTGCACAGGTGCCAGAGTCCTCAGCGGCCTCCACCCTCCACCGCTCATGCCTCCATGGCCTCTGCTCCTCTGCACCCCGCAACGGCGGTAGACCATGATTGACGGCCTTCAGTCAGGCTGCCCACCATACAGACTCCTAGGACAGGGCAGCCAACCTTGGTTCATCGCATCTGATGCTTGGTGCGCGTGTATGTGTGTGTGTGGTATGTACGCACGCATGTGTGTGTAAGTGTGTGTGTGTACTCGTGTGTGTGAAGGGATGAGAAGCTGGCAGGTGGTGCCTCTGCCTGTTTTCTGTGTCTCCTTTATTTAATTCGTGTTATTTATTCATGGAGCTTGGTTAGTGAGGAGAGATCCCCTTGCCTGAGCTGCCTGGGCCTGCCGCGGTCACTGCATTGCCTCCTTTTCTTCTGGCTGGGTAGATACCTCAGTCAGGCCCCAGAGCTCCTCATGTCACCTGCCTCCAGAAGGGAAGACGGCTAGTGCCTGAGAAGACAATGCTTCCTCTCCCCGTCCATTCCACAGTCTCCATCTTCTTGTCTGATGGCGAGCAGCCCCGATGCTTTCTGGGGCTGGGAAACTGCTGATGTCCATTGAGGGCAAGAGGTACCCTAATATCACTGGGCCTGTACTCCTGGCGGACTGAGCCTTGCCCTCCTCTTTCTGGGCCCCAGACTCCTCCCGCCTCCAGGGCTCTTTCCCAAGGACATTCAGTAGCCTCCCTGAGACTCATCCCAGGCTCTCCAGCCTTGGCAAGAACTCATGGCTTCCCCAACTCCACTCCACTTCATTGCCAGCCCTCTCCACCCTTGTACTGGGAATTGTGAGCCAAGCAGTTGTTGCCCCGATGAGACCTGCAGGAAACGGAACAGTGTGGAAACAACGCGGACTGTCATCAAGGGAAGTCCCCTCTCAGGTCCCTTTGTTTCTCTCTACTCCAAGAAGTTTCTTTGGTGAACAAACCACCTGTCCTCATGTGAGGTGTGGCTTCTTCCTGCTTTGATCACTGTTCTCTGAAGCTGTCCGGTCTCAGTCCCCAGTGGAAAGAATCAGTGTCATTCTGCCCCTTTAAATGCAGATAGCAACATCCCTCGCTTTTCTCCTTCAACTAGTACCAGAAGCTCACCCAGGCACAATCTTTGCCAGATTTACCTGTTACCCCTCTTTCTTAGTCACATCTTGGGGGAACACTGTTTTGTTGAGAACCGATCCATTCTTTACTACTTGTGTGAATTGGCCTTCCTCACCTTCCTTTGTGACAGCCCCAAATGTCTCCAGGTATTGCAAGTAATAAGTAAATTTCTATTTTAAAAAGTTAATTTTCATTGACCTTTATTTTTTACATGCAAGATAAAATTTAGTTTTTTAAGATTTATTTTTTATTATTTTTCAACTACGCGTGTCTGTGTACATGAGTGCAGAGGCCAGAGGTATGGACTTCCTTGGAGCTGGAATTACAGGTGGTTGTGAGCCACCTAACATGAGTGCTGGGAATTGAACTCAGGTCTTCTGGAAGAGCAATATGTGCTCTTAACTGCTGAGCCATCTCTAGCTCCTCTCTCTCTCTCTCTCTCTCTCTCTCTATCTCTATCTCTAAGGTAGGGCCTTTTTGTATAGTCCTGCCCGCTTCTAGTATCCACTTGCTATGCGGCCACCCTTGCCTCAAACTTGAGGAATGCCTGCCTCGACTTCCCAGGTGCTGGAATTATAGATGTGAGCCCTGATAACAAGTTTTTATTTTTAAAGCATTTTATATATATATATTTATATGCAACCCCACAGAGTTGCTTAGAGTCACTCAGGTTGAGGTAGAATTGCCAATGAGAATAGCCCATTCTATGTAAGGAAACCCTATTTCAAAAAAAAAAAAAAAACCAAAGCTGGAGAGACGGCTCCATGATTGGCAGTGCTTGCTGTTCTTCCAGAGGGACCCGAGTGGAGTTCCCAACATCCACGTTCGGCAGCTCCAGGGGATCTGACAGCCTCTTCTGTGCTCTGCGGTGACCTGCACATACATGCACATACCCACCCACAGACACAGACTTACACATAACTGAAGAGAAATGAATTTCTTACATTCGGGTTTGAATTGAGCATGATGGTACATGCTCACCTATAATTCCAGCACCTGGGAGATGGAGGTAGGCGGATCAGAAGTTCAAAGTCTTCCTTGGATCCATGGCAAAAAAAAAAAAAAAAAGAAAAGAAAAGAAAAGGAAGAAAAAGAAAGAAAGAAAAGAAATGCTAAATTAAAAATTTTTAACTTACTTTAAAATCATCCAGTTCTATTTATCCTACAACAAACTTGGATTCGTTCCCTAATTGCTTTCCTGATATGTCTCTAGGGAATATCCATGATCCTCTATTTCTGTTGGTTTTTGTTTTTGTTTTTTTTTCCACTTTGGTTTGTTTTGAGACAGGGTCTCTCTGTGTAGCCCTGACTGGTCTGGAACTCCCTATGAAGACCAGGCCCAGCATGAAACTTGCAGCCATTAACCTGCCTCTGCCTCCAGAGTGCTGGGATTAAAGGCATGGATCACCATGCCTAGCCCTACATTAATCTTCTTCAAGCCTTGGAGCTACTCAGATGTTGATGAGAACACAATTTCTTGACGTAGGAATTGTGATTTCTGCTGTCAACATTTAACAGTTTACACCTTAATTATTATTTATTGCTTGAAAAGTTAAGAAATTCTCTTAATATTAAGGATCATACTGCCAAATATATTGACTTATTTTCAAGATGTATATTTTGGTGGGTAGTAATGGGTAATTTGTAAAAGCAAACAGGAAGTTAGGGTTTCAAGTGCCCTATAACGTTGGGAGTCCCTTTCCCTGGCTGATGAGCAGGTCTACAGTTTCTGTAAGGCGTGAAGCTGGTAGATCCGCCAGGAGTTTTGTGTGCTCGTCTCTGGGAAACAAGCTCTTCCATACCGTTCACGTTCTCCTCTGCGGATCTCTTGCTTCATCTCCACTGCTCTTTTCTACCGTTCTGCCGGACTAGACGGGTGAGCCTCTTGATTGTCCGTCCTTCAAGGAAACCTTAATTTTTCATCAGAGCCCTATGATCAGTTGACACTCAGGATTCCGAGCAGAGGTTTGGCTGTATCTGAGACGGGAGCTGTGTGTAGGACTCGCCCCATGTGACCTGGGCATCGAGGGACCTCCCCCTAACCGCTTTGTCATTTGTAGATGAAGCTGCATGTGCCATCACACCCATCAGTCGTACACATGGACGCCACATAGTCTGGGTCACTTGTCCCTCATAGTCTTATAGCACAATATACCCCACTTCAGCACCCCAGCCTGCGGGCTAGGCCCAAGGTGTGGTCAGAGGAGGAGCCCCTGCCTATGGTATTGTATATGTGTGTTTATGTGTGTGTTTGTGTGTGTTTACCTGTGCAGGGGGCACTACACTCAATGTAAGATACTTTAGGGACAGAGCCACCAGGGGTGACTGGATCTCAGTCTGTCTCTCTCTTCCTTTTCTTTTGATGTATTGATTTGATTGACAAAGTAAGGGCCTTAATCTGGACCAAATTTCCATGTCTGTTGTTATGGTCTTTAATTAAAGTTAAACAGTGGCCCATTCTTGTCACGCTATACATATGACTATCTGAGACATATGTAATATATAAATATATAAATATATATATATATAACATTAACCTTTATCCCCTTGGTTTAGGATGGAGGCCTTTCTGTTAAGTTGAAATGCACCCTAGCTTGGTGCTGCCAGCAGCCTGCAGGCCCCAGCCCTGTTGAGATTAACACAGTCGACAATAAAGGGATGAGTATCATTGCGGAGTTGATTGCTTGCTTCTCTTCCCAATGTCTCTTCCTTCTTGCGGTTGTTTTTTCATTTTTGCCTTTCTCTCTAGCTTCTTCAGTAAGGGCTTAAAAATATTTGGAGGCCACCTGCATCGATCAGAACACTGGAGAAGAAATAATTCCTCAATGAAGGGATATCTCTTGTGGTTAGTGGATTCGTGTGGCATGTTCAAGGCACTTGGTTCCATACCTGCCGTGGAAGGAAAGAAAAGAATAGCAGTAGACTTGGGCTGGGAAGATAGCTCCCTGGGCACAGGGGCCTGCTCCCACAGCTCACAGCCTGCTTGCATCCCCGAGGCTGCACACGCAGTGTGGATGACTGCAAGTTGTCCTCTGACGTCCACATCTACACTGTGGGAAGGGCACGCACACCCACACATGCGCACTATAAAATGAGAACCAAATAGAGACTGTTTGACTTGAGAGAGATATTGGGAGATGGTCCAGTCCGCAAAGTTCTGAGAACTTGAGTTTGGATCCCTAGCACCCACATAGAAGACTAGGTCCGTCAGAGCTTGCCTATGGTTCCAACACCGGGGAAGCGGAGACAAGGGGTCCCTGAGGCTTACTAGTTAATCCAGTCGAATACGTGAGCTCCAGGCTTAGTGAGAAACTCTGTCTCTCTTTTAAATTCCACATTTTATGTGTCATCTACTTTTTTATTTGTTTTTTTTTTAAATTTTGCTAGCTTTCAAGGCATGCATTTGGAGAGAAGAGGACATGAGTTAGTTCTCTCTTCCTATCATGTGAGTCTCGGGGATTGAACTCAGGTCATCAGTCTTGTTGGCAAGCACCTGTCCTCAGTGAGCCATTTCACAGTCTGAGAGTCATGCTCAAAAAGGAAAAGAAAAGAATGAAAGAAAGAAGAAAAATGGTGATTTAGGAAGATGCTTTTGGCCTCTACATGCATGCACATATCACCCCCACCATACACACAAGATGAAGGAGAGAGGAGAGAGAGAGAGGAGAGAGAAAGAGAATCGGAATGTGTGAATTTATCTGCGCATTAGGAGGAAAGCTCTCATGGGAGGGCTGTACCGGGGCTGTGGGAGCAACTATTCACGTTCCAGGATAGCAGTCTCTCACCAGTTACTTCAGACTTACTGGCTCACCTCAGAACTGGGAGGGGATACTCAGATTAGTTGTCAGGGATTGGACAGAAATAAACGTATAGAAAGCACATGCATGTGTCTGGCATATGGGGAGGGCTGAATTCCAGTATGACACTAGTTTCTGAACTGGGTGGAGCTCACTGAAAGGGCACACAAGAACCATGCCTGAGGCCCTGTTTTCCACTTACAGCTCATAAATAGACATAAAAGATCTAAGTCCCTCTGGACTCTCTCTTGGAGGAGGTGACAAGTAGTGACCCAAAACATGGCCTGGCTCACAAGGCAGAGACACTAGTGACCATTTTGGGTGCTGAGCTTTTCTCAAAGGGATTTCTTACCTCTGAGCTTCCAGCTCTCAAGCTTCCAGACTTCAAATGGAGACATCTGCCAGGGATTGCACTGGGCACTTTGAATGAAAAAAAAAAAAAGAAAGAAAGAAAACAGGGTGGGGGGAGGACATGACTGCTTCTAGGTACAGTGGTGGAAAAGGTCTACTGTACGTATGAGGGAGAACATAGGCAGAGACAGAGACGTCTGGGAGAGTCCAGAGTGACTATGACTCTGAGCCAGGATGCGTGAGGAAAGAGGGGAGGGGAGAGGAGCCGCCAATCAAGAGAGATGCCTGGACCAAAAGACTGGCAGAGCCAACATGACTGAGTTATGTAGGAACCAGAGAAGTGTGCAGAGGAAACCAGTGAGTTTGGGGCGGGACATGCCAGCCAGGAAGGCCCTCTAACAGGTAGAGACTGAGGGGTGCTGGGAGATATTAGTAGCCAGAGTGTTCTTGGATATGTCAATGGGCACAAATCAGCCATTTGTCCTGGGTTTGAGACCCAACACACTTAACTCATAAGTTTGAGTTCTCCTCCCAGGGAGAGTGACATCACTTCCCTTCAGAGAATTGGGGAAATTGACAGTCTTATCTGTCCGTCAAGTGATGAAGCTGAACCTCCTTCCTCAAAACTCGAAGTTTTCATTCCTCGGCTTGCTATTTCTCCAGCCCACAGGTACCAAGGACCACAATAGCTCCCAACATGAATATGGTAGAAAATGTATCTGCCAGCAGCTTCCTGCTGGTGTGGTCCTGCCACAGATGCCAGAGAGACAGAATCTCAGTCTTGGTGGGGATAGGACTGACTGAGACGCTTGGTTCAGATAGGTGGGGACGTGACATGTGGAGAAAGGCCTGCCTCCAAGAGTCACCCTGCTAGTAAGCATGTGAATGGCTGGGAGAGAGTCAAGCATTCCCAGAAGACCATGATGGCTGAAGCTAGCGCTGAGTAATGCTCTTTGGTAGCATGTGCTTAGCGTGTCCAAGACTCTGGGTTTGAGCCTCCTCAGCCCTGGAAACAAACAAATGAAAAAGATAATGGTGG